CAAATCTGCAGTAATAACTAGTAGGCAATCTTTCTTCGGTTTACGGAGAGGCCAATTTACGAGTCAAATTCTCTCGCATCTTCAAGTAAAATGAGAGGAATGCCAACATATACTTAAAAATTTCTCGGAACCCAGATTTTTCGTATATACGCAAGCTATTTGTAAAGTTAATTAAACCCGCTTTTCAGCTGAAGATACCAAAAAGCATTTATTCTTGAGAGTCCTATGCTCCAATAAGGTCTATTTCTATATAATCCAGACAAACAATTATTTGAAAAAAAATTTCCTGTCTTTAAACTAAGTATGATAAATACTTTAGATATGAAACGTATATCCAACCCGTTAAAAGATAGGTTTCAGTCACTAATTTTTATAATTTTAGACGAAGAGGAAAACTATAAGTGCTCGTAATCGGACCAAAAGTTAAGCCAATGTTAATGTATACTTATTCGAGCACAATTATTGAATAATGTTAAAAATGGCTATTTAATATATTTGCTAATCCCCTGTTATTGTAGTTAAATATAATCAACATTATATATTTATGAAGTCTTGAATTATCAGAGGAGATAGTTTCATACAAACGTTTAAGGTCCTCGTGAATGCAAACTTGAAAGTATTGACCAATAGTTACATATATTTTGGCTCTAAGCCCCATAAAAAACTGAGTATACGACAAAATGTAGAAATAATAATAATGGCAATTTATAAATTTGAAAATAAATGTGTCCCATACCCATAAAGAAGACATTAAAATGGTCCAAAAATGCTTAATATTTGGAATATGCTGGAATACTTACCCTCGGTATCCACCAATAGATAATTATTCTTTGACTCATAAGCAGCCCAGATTCCAACAGTACACGTGATTTGAGACTCAGATGTTCTAAACACCGGTACCCCATGGCAGAAGGCTTGATTTAGAGTATAAGACTTTCCGTCACCTGTGTTCCCAACGATCGCAATAAGTTTCAATGGAACATCTTCTGGACAATCTAGAGCTAAACGGAGAGCCTCTGCATCAGGAAACTAAGGGAAGAAAATTATTAAAATGTACTTTCAGTCGTGTGCATCAAACACAAATTTAAAGTATGTGCAACATTGACAAAATGTATAAAAAATGAAACATCAAATAAAACATCGTAAAGAAATTGACTGTACCAAAACATTCTCTTGATCGTCAATAAGATGTACTGAGCATGGGGAACGATGAAAGCCGGAATTCGGCATCAATTGAGAGGTTTCAGGGGGAAAATTTGGAGACTGTGAATGAGCAGAATCCAGCATTCCGGAATCTATATCTCTACTACAATCGAGCTGTCGTGAAAAGCTTTTGGACATATCACGCTGATTGCCTCTTGAAAGACATTGAGGGGGAAGTTGGCTTGGTAAGGCCATTGGAAGACCGGGAGCACTATTACCGCCATCGACTAAAAAACGAGGAAAACAAGGATACTACTTAAAAAATAAGTCTGAGGCACAATATTAAAAAAAATTGAATAACTTAAACAGAGACCGTAGTGTGATTAAAGGAAGACATCTAGTTGACACTGGTAATGCAATCTTCGACTTATGCTCTCCAGAAATATCAAAACTTTAATAACAAAAATTTAGTCAAAAGCCCTTATAATTTTGCAGCTTGTTTCATAAAATGAGGACCAAGGGTAGGAATAAAACAAATGGCTCCACGAGGCATTACAATCCTTCGTAATTTCTTAGAGGTTTAGCCTATTTACGGAATGTCTAAGAATTTATACATCTCCTTCTATTGTTAGGTACTTATTATTCCCAAAAATGTCTTTACTAAGTGATATAAGTGGCCGAATGCAAGTATGGAGCATCTTTTATATATCTATTGAAGTAAGCGTAACCAAAATTATAAAAATATAGGATAACTGTACACATGGCATCACTGATAACCGCAGAAATATATGTAGGGGACTTTCGGAGAGTGGTGTTAGCATTAGTCAGTCGAGATGAAGAACATTTCGGATCGCAGCTAGATTTAGACATCAGATGCGCATTTCCTAGTGGGTAAAAAAATGCATAGAGCTATAAAAACTTTAATTTTAAATAAAAGAAACGCGAAACTAACAATTCAAGAGACTATCAGAATTGGGAAAATGATAAATTCGAAGCACACAATTAATAGGAAGAGCAGGACAAATCGTGCGGTATTAGGCTGAGGGAAAAAACACTGTTTGTTACTATTCTCACTACGCACATCTTACCTGCGTTATTAAATGCATCGCATTTTAAATTATTAACAGGTAATTATTATTATTTGTCTTTAAATACACATTTCATATTATCGTTTAAAGTCGCTCTTGACCTTCTCCTCCATTTGACTTTCCGCTTGGCTTCTCTCCTTTTTTCCATGACTGAACAGAAAGATCAGTTCTATTTTCTCAAAGATCTAAAACCTAACATGAAGCGACTTAATACCCTTTTCATTGTGTTAGAGCTTGGTGCGTAATCGTCATAATTAGTTTTCCTTAGGCCCTGTTACTCGTACAAAGGATGGGAGTGAGGTGCGAACTGCAAAGGTTGCTGATCGTACTGGGACCATAAATCTGTCTGTTTGGAACGAGAAAGTGCCTTA